CGATATTTAGTCTTCTGGTTATTATCTTCATTAAGATTTTTCGTGTATATTCTATTAGTGTTATTAGTTTTGTCATTTCGAGTTTTCTTGTAAAGACTAGCCTTTTTGATATTAGGTATATTGTACTATTTTTCTATGCTTTTGGTAAGTCCTGTGTTTTTAGGCACAGGTTTAGAGTCATCAAGAGCATGTTGAGTACTTTAAATCTTAGATGTTTTATCATTTCATTAGAGATTTGTGATAGTCTTGTTGCTTTGCTGAGTAGAGCTTTATTTATAATCTCTTTAAGCTCTGCGATATCTATTGGTTTTGTGGTTTCATCGTACCAGTTTCCTCTTATAGTTTCTTTTTGTTTATATTCTTTTTCCCATTCAGGCCAATATGCTATATTAGTAGGATTGTATTTTGTCCAATTATCGAAGTAGTCTTTTATTTTTTCTTTGATTTTTGTAGGGTCTGTAATTAGACTATTTTTAATACGAATATTTCGTATATTTACTAGTTCTGTATGTTTTTGTAGGATGCTTTGGATTATTTTGAATATATTTTTAGAAAAGTTTTAAAAGTGTCTTTGTATTTTTTTTTTTATATCTTGTATTTTTCTGATTTTGTTTTCAGTATTGCGGGCTTTAGTGATTTTCTTTTTTCCTTTTAAAAATATTTGAAATATGTTAGAGAGTAATTATGTATCCACTATTTCTGGTACAGTTTCTTTAACTGATTTGTTGATTTGAATAATTTTTTGGTTGCACCACTCTCTATTGATCTGTGGTGTATTAGTCTTTATATTTCTTAATACAGACCTAATATTTGTGAAGACTTTATGTATTTTGGTTGCATAGTAGTTATATTTTTTGATGATTGAGTAGTTTATCTTTCTTGTTGTATTAGGGATATCTTTTTTTGCTCTTTCTATTATTGCTGCAGCAAGTTTATTTCATATTTTGTTTAACTAATATGTGTCTTCTGTCTGTTTTTTGTCTAACTTTGAAGTTGTTGTATTATTGATTAGTTGTTCTACCTCCTTATTGAATTGCTCCCATTTTTCCTTGGTCATTCTGTTGTAGTTGTATATTCTTCTTTTATGAGTACTCTTTTGTTGTATATGTGGTATTTTGTCTTGTGTATTCTATTGTGTTTGTATAATACAATGGTCACTGTCTATAATATGTATTGCATTAATGATTTGTAGTATTGTAAATTCGTTAATTTGTATTGATGAGATCTATATCTTATCTATTTGGCTGCTAGAACCTCTTGTATTCTATATAAGTATGTTTGGTGTCAGAGTGTGGAGTAGTGGGAGTATATTATTCCTCTCCATATATGTAATGAGTTGGATTTTTTGTTTATATTTTTTTAGATCTATATTGAAATCTTCTAGGATTATTGGTATC